TTATAAATATTATATATATATAATACTTTATATATAATTGTATATATATATATTTTATGTATAATTATAAATATTATATATATAATAAATATACACATAAACAAACCTTAATTGCAGTAAATTCTTCACTGTTTCTATTAACTTTGCCTTTCTCTGCTACTATTTCATTATACAAAATATTTAAACTGTGTTGCATAGTTAAAGCACAATTTGTTTTGTTAATATCCCTGGCTTTTCCTAATGTAGTTTTAATAATATCACCATAATCGTTATAGTATTTTACATAATGTTTAAAAACATCGGCTGCTGCTTTTGTGGGTATCATGTTATATACAATTAATTTGCAATAACCCGCAAGAAAATTTCTTCTTTTATGTAATTCTTCAATCTTTGAATGTTCATCATGTTCATCTATAAATATATAAATATATATAAATATATATAAATATATAAATATATATAATATATATAAATATATATAAATATATATAAACATATATAAATATAACATGAATATTTAATAAATTATCATAGCATACCATCTTCCTCTTCAAAAAATACATATTCTTGAATAAAGCGATTAAGCATATTTTGCATTGCTTGATCAGGTTCATATACTAATTGATGCATTAAGGGATTAGAATGTGTTGTCAATTGATTACAGAATACTACCAATAAATCGCATATTGTGTTATATGCTTCTTCTCTTAAAATAGGTGGAGAAGGCTAAAATAACATTAACAAATATTATATATAAAAATGTAAAATAAGTTATGTTAACAAGAATATAAAATAAGAATAAAGTAATTACCGTGCCGTTTACATCACCACTGACAAAATAACGCATAGAACCCATAAAAGAATGCAAACGCTCTTTTAATTGTCGACATTCATCTTCACCTCGATTTCCAGAATCCGCAGCTTCCATAAGATGATTTTGTCCCCACAAAATTGCAAAGAAACATGCACTTATGCAATATTTAACTGCCTCATGTGGTAAACATCTGTAATAAAATATTCATACGTTTATGTGCATACAATTTCGACGAATGTAAATGTGTATAATGTTACTACTTAGTTGGGTCTTTGGCATCTTCAATATCCTTATATAAAGAATCCCATATCCCCCACGGATTCATATTGTGACAAGAGTAAAATATTGAAACTTTTTTTAAGGATTGTACAACATTAAAAATTTCATCTTCATCAGGTTCCTCGTCTCCCTCTATTAAATTTCTGTATTCATCAATAGCTTCTTTATATTTATTTACAATAGAATCAATTAACGTTGAGCGTGCTACATCACACCTACATTAAAACAAAAAATAATTAACTCTAATTCTTTTAATAAAATTTTAGTATTATCATAAAATTTACCTGGTAAAAATAGCATGCCCTTCTATACACATATGTTCTAATGTTTTTGCGGCCGTATCTAAAACTTCAGTATCATGCATTTTTTCTACAATCGTATGAATTTTATTCAACAACGAATCCAAATTTTGTTCCTGTCGAGATTTTGTATAAATATCCAAATCAAAATATTGAGGAATAGCAAGTAAATTTGCAAGTTTTTCAGGATCTGCCCTATATTTATCAAGTAAAAGAGGTAATGTTTGTATAAAATGTTCTGTCAACCGTTGTTTATCATCATGAACTTGCTTCATTTCTTTCGCTGATAAAATTTTTCTAGTTGGTCCCCGACCAACTGGGGCTTCGCCTATTTTAAATATTGAAAGAAGTTTATATTTATCAAATGATTTCACAAATACATAAAAATACAAAATTTTACCTGTAGCAGCTTGTTTTATACAACAAACCATTAATTCAATCAAAGATGTTTCTTTCTGATTATCTAAAGCTTCTTCTTCAGGTCCAGCCTCTTCTAACAGTAAATCTGTCATACATTCCCAGTCTTTCATCATTTGATTCGTTTCAATCAAAGAATCTACTAAATATGCTCCATGTTCGTGAAGTTCAGATTCAATAAAAAATAAAACAAGATCACGAATAAGTGGCGTATTTGGCAAACGCTTTTTTCCACGTTTAGTTTTAACCCCTGCTACTGCTTCATCATCAGGACGAAATAGACGTTCATTCAAAAATTCACCCGCTGCTTGTGCAACGGCACGATGAGAAGAATAAACAAGTTCATATACATGTTCACAATCTTTATCAGTAAGAATTTCTCTGTGATGTTTTAAAATTGAAATAACAAGTTTGACAGCTTGGACTGCTACATCATATTCCTTATCCAATGTCATTGCAACAATTCTATCTTTAAATTTACTTGTAAAAAGTTCAAGTTTAGTTTTTAATTCTTCTGAGGCATATAATGGTTGCAACGCTTGAAGACATTTTAATCGAACTTCACCTACTTTATCATGTAATGTCCAACCTACAATAAATTTATTTATATCATAAAATATATATAAGTTTATAATTAACAACATTATATATTACCTATGTATTTTAAATAAGAATCGTCTAAAAAATTTTGATGAAACTTTTTCATCCATACTCCTATTTCTGCCATACAAATTGCGCGAATTTCTGGCAATGTATCTCTGTAGCGATGTACAAATACGGATTTGAACATATATGTAAGCATATTTTTGATCTCATCCATATTCTCTTCAAGTTCTTTTCGTTTGGCCATTAGTGATTCTAATCTATCTGCAGCTCTCTTTTCTCTTGCTTTTTGCCTTTCAGCTTCATATTGCCGTTGTGTATTATCCAAATTTATTGATACAGTTAGAGCAACATCTACTAATGCTGTCATAAGCTTCATAGCTAGAGCAAGAATGATATAATATACCATTAACATATTATTGACTAACGATACACTCGTATTATCAATATAATTTGTTTTCTCATAAACAAACATTCAAAAATTGTTCAATTAATGTAAATACTTCAAATTTAACTTCTTTTATATTATTTGAATGTTTATTTAAAATAAAAATATTTCTTACCAGCAAGAGTGGCAGTGTGCCTGAAAGCTCTTACTTGCGAGTCCGAAAGACCAGTTAATAATGAAATTACATTATCCATTAAAAATTGATCATAAATGATTGAATACTGACATTGTCTAACTAAAATCTGAACAAATTCACAGAAATTTGCACGAAATTTTTTCCATTGTTGACCAGTCATTATCAATGGATATTCCCCACTTTCCTATATTTCAAATTATTATAAATTAAATAAGAGAAATATTTATTTATAAAAAATAAATATTAATACATACCTCATCAAATTCTTCAGTCATTTTACGAATTATTGCTACATGTTCCATTGTTGCTTGCATCTCAGATGTAATACGTCCTTTACACCCACTTGCATTAATAAAAAATTGCATTAACATAAGAAGAGCATTTTCTCTATTACTTTTGTACTTTTCTATCCAATCATCAACAATAGTCTACAAAAAAGATATGTGTCTATATGTGTATATATAAATATGTATATATATGTACATATGTGTGTATGTGTGTGTGTACATAGATATCTATCTACATATTTACTGTGATATATTTAGTGTGATAATTTTTATGATTCAAACACTTTTAACAAACTTTTTTTTTAAATATAACATACAGTTAATGAAGACCGATTGTTTTTAATGACGTAATAAAGACTAGCTTCATCTTCTAAACTTTGTGAATGATGTGTTCTTTTTCCTCGTCCACGTCCACTACCTCCTCTTCCTCTATTACTAGTAGTTGGAATGTAATCCATATCAATTTCTTTATACTTAGGTTGCTGTATAGGCCCTCCTGAAAAAGGATAAATATTCAAAAATCTATAACAAAGAAATATTACTTTCAATCATACCACGTAATCTTGCACGTGTATTTCTTGTAATTCTCATGTTAGTTGGAGTTGCCGGTGTCATAGGTTGTTCAAATTGGGATTGATTCTCAAAACCTGTCTGTTCCTGATACTGTGGTTGTGACGTACCTGGAGAGCTATAACTTTCCGATGGATAATGTTCAGGGCTAAACAAACAAATTATAATAATGCTATAAATATATTACATATATATATA